AGAATATCTAAAAAATATAACAACAGTATCGTGAGATTCCTTTAAACCTACAGAAATATGGAATGAGAAAGCACAAAAGGTGTGCATTATGCAATTGAAAAATTATGACAACTAAAAAAGCTTAACAATAAAAAGTGGTGCATTTTAGTAGCGGAAGAATTTACGCCTACTGGGAGTAGAAGTGTGATAGCAGCCTCCAAAACGAGCCGAGCTGCAGTAACATCCGGAGTCTGGCCAGTATAGTTCAGATCGCATTTGATGATGGTGTTGAAGATGAGCAGGGCAAGATGGATTAGAATCATACGTTGAATCACGTCGATCTGGAGGTCATAGAAAACAACGATTCCTTGCATAAAAGGTAGTCAAAGTGGTGAATAAATTGCTAACTGATAAAAAACAAGTAATTCAAAATCTTCACGATAAAGGAAGAAAAATAAGCACCAGAGTAAGTCAAGGCAAGGAGATATCATTTGTTTAAAACTTTAAATTGGATAAAGCTAATTATGAACCTTATTTAAAATTCAAATTAATTATGTTTTAAGAAATGGTGGTTAAGATAAAAAGAAGTATCTAAAACAAATCAGGTAACGCAAATGCTCTACAAGCATTTTGGTAACAGTTTGAAAATTACGCTTGAGGATAAATATGGCTATTAAGGAAGACTTTTCCATGACATTTAATAAAAGTAATAATGATAAAAGATTTATAAAATGATAGGACTCTTGAAAATGCAAATATAAGATAACCTCATTTAAAAAATAATTTTATAGGAAATGAAATAATAAAGGCTAGAAGGTCGTAAGTGAAAAAAATCGCAGATGAAGTAAATTCTGAATTGCGATGAATAACGAGTATTATATATTTTAATGCGTCGTTATTAATATAAAAATTCGCCATAACCAAAAGTTGCTGAGGAATGCCAGCAAAAAAGCTGGTAAACATGGGAATCGAGTTCAATCAGCATAGAAAAAAAGGCCGATTAAAGAAATTAAGTCTTGTGCCCGTTTTGTCTTCCCTTATAAGCCAATTTAAAAATGCTCAAATTATTTAAGCGTACACAAAAATAAAAATAGGTTTGGGTAGTGTTAAAAAAAATTTAAGTGGAAATCAAGCGCCTTACTCTATATGCTTCAATTATGGCTTAAAAACTTTAATAAATCATTTCAATGTTTGGCATCTGATCGATAATAGTACGTATGTCGTAACGTCAATATACATCAACTGCCTTGTCTCAAATATAGCCATTCAGAATCTAATTTCTCCCTTATTCTCTTAACTTGAAACTTGGAAAAGTTTAGAACCAGCACGTCTGCCTATTTGGTATATCAAATATCATAATATAACCAATACATGCCTAGTCAATCAAGACTAAGGGAATGAATAAATATGACGAGGAACAGGCAGGTGGCACAAGACCACGGCACATGCTGATCACCCTTCAGTTTCCTTCCTAGTTTATTTTCGACTCACACGTAAGCCCTCTTTTCCAACTGGATTTGAATGTTACTCGGCTCGAGTTGTAAAATTAATACTTTAATCTAATGATGTCTATTATAAAGGAGACTTTCTGTTCATAATCGAAGATTATATAAAGGACAGCGTTAACCAGAACGTTCTAGTAATGCAAAAAGACGGCTGAAAAAAAAGAATCCGCCTCATCTTCCGATGGGAGCTACTTTTGAATCCCTTCATCACACGTTTTTTGTTGAAATGTAAATGAGCTCAACAATCTATCGATTTAGCCTTAATTATTGTGGCACATTTAGGTGTATTGCCAGCAATAGCATCTCCATACTAGAAAGGCCCTTGAATAATGCCCGCCAGGTGATACTGTCAAATTTAGATAAGACAGGACAGACAAGACAAACAAGATATTTAAATAATGGCAATTAGCTACTAAAAACCCAAAGGTTGAGTGTTGTGGGCAATATTTGGAAATATTCTTTCAAAAACTTTAAGTTAAAATGATAGTGAGATTTTAGGAATGAAAAATGGATTTCGGGATAAAGGCAACCGACCTGTGCTTTTCTCTGTATACATATAGGCTTGATTACAAGATGAAAGTTGCGAAAAATTGGTCGCTGCTACTTGGTACACAAGTTGTACTCAATAATTAAATATCTAATCATCTGATCCTCTCACAAATAGTCAAATTATAGGAGATTAGAGTTGCCCTATACATACAAGAAACAAATTATGATTCAGGTGCCAATGGATGAAAGGTCAGTAATTACTTAATCCTAAATGGTAATTGTCATAGTAGTATAAATAGCTTGAGTACTAATTGGAAGCAACTGACACATTCACAATGATCCAATCTAGAGAAAATGGTCCTGAAAAAACTATATTTTATACATAAATAAAATAAGGACATAAGGCAGTTACGTAAGATGGAATTAAGCTATAGTGTGACAACAAATGGAATTAGCCATGAGGAGAAGTATTTCTTTACAATTTACTGGCGTTAATGGAATCCTCTTTTCAAAGATACCATGCATTGATGGCTAGGTTAATGAATAATTTTATGCGCTGCTGTAAACAGGAAAAAGGCCACAGGATTTATTTTAACTCGTTTGCGCCAAATTGACAGCAAAGCGAAAAAGTAAGCCCAAATGAATTGGTCAGACTGTTCGGTATGACGGTAAACATGTCAGATAAACAAGAGGAATATGACCCGGTAGTCCGTTATTGGATAACTTCGGAGAAAAAAGTGAATATTGAAAAGGATGTTGCCTACGTATGACAAAGAGCACGTTAAGTTAAAAAGAGAGAAAGTAAAGGAAAGCATGCACGCGAACAAGAGATAAAATCGTTACCAGTAGTCATAAATCGACCACAAAAAAAAACAAATAGATGTACATTACAGTTAATGGAACAAAAAATAGTGCATGTATACCAATGATAACAGTTGCTACCTGAAATAGTCTATGGCGCGAATTTAGTTATCAAACTTCTCGATATAAGCCTGAAAGGCAAAAATTAAACAGCATGCTTTCGTCACAGGGAAAAACTGTGAGGCCAGATATACAACGGTTACTAACAACCCAAATCAATAACCTCGAGGAATTGGTGTATTCGTCTCTACGTCGAAGTCTCTATCATCTAGTTCTACACTTAGCAAAATGAATGATCCTGTCCTCCGAAAATGGAACTATGCTCTCAAAGACAGGAGTTTGTAAGGGAGAATAAAGAAAAATAATCTAAACAAATAAAACAACCAATAACGGGCGAATTATAACTGTAACCTAATCCAGTTACAAGGCAAAGATTGGAATCTTTGACTTAATTAGTGTAAGGGGTGTGAGGCTTCCGTATACGAGCCAATAGAATAAAGGGTTAGGTTTAAAAGGTTATTGCTGCATAAAAATTATTCCTCAGGCTTGATAGAGAGTAAAATCACTTTAATGTTTAAAGACGATGATCATTTGAGACGAGAGGCTGAAACTTGATTTTGCCTTTGTGCTTTATCTACCCTAAGAAACGGGCAGCTTAACTAATCTTTTTAATTACGGTTAAAGCTGCAGCCACACTTTCCGTCTATATCAGTTTCCATAGAAAACCTATTGTCGAAACCAGGCGTGTGTAGTAGTAGTAGTACTACTACGTAGTAGTAGTGACGTATTTCCCAATACTAATAGGTAATTAGCCTTAATGAGCTGAGACAGCGAGTAAGTCTAGCTCCAAATGCTTGAAATACTAAATGATGAACAATCACAAACATACACACTCATTTATATATCAATATACAGGTGTAGATATAATGAGACAAAATGAGCCAGCTTCTTTTCTTGACTCAGTATAAGCTTGAAGTCATTACATCTCTGATACCTGTTATAAAAAAAGAGCAAACCCACATCCAAAAGAACCGAAGGGGAGTACCTAGAGAATGATGTCAGCGTAAAGAGCCCTGCAAAATAATGCAACATTCCAAGGATTGTGGTCATCTAATAAATGCCAATTTATTCATCAAATACTTTAATAAGAAATGAATGCTAGCCCAACATATAAATAAATGACAAGTTCTAAAATTTATGGAATTGTTGATACAAATTTATCTACTCCATGCTTTAAAAATAGAGGGCCAAATGTAAAAAGAATTTTCACCCATGATAATTATAAGCAAAATCTTGGTATATAATCCTCAATTTCAGGTTAAGGCCAGAAAACCGGTAAGTCAATCTTGTCATTTGACATTTTTGAATTGTTGCAAACATTATGGTATCGCACCTCGGTAGTGAAATCTAATGAGGATTTATCACGTTGACATGGTTAAAAAAATACTCTATCAGGCCTCCACTTAGAAATTAGAGGAAATTAAAGAGATCTCAAGTCAATTTAAGGAAGGATCTAGGTAGTATAATAACTTTGGATGATTTTAAAAAACTCCAGAGCACGAACGACCAGAAGAAACAGAGGGTCCGGGATGTGATAAATAAGTGGCATGACAAGAAATTGCTTAGCTATAGGATAATAAGACAACGTAATAGAAAGCCAACCAGGGTAAATTTTGATAGTTCTGTAATGAAGGCATCATATGTTACAAACGACGTTAGGAATAAGGTAGTCAATCTAACCTCAATCTAATTTGATTATGAAACCATGGATCTCCTAAACAAGGGGTTAAATTTTTTTAATACATAACGAAGGAATCGATCTTAGTGATATTTTTGTGGAAGTTGTCAACATATCTAATAAATACCCAGCAGAGACAAAGCGGGAGATCAAAATGGAAATAATTCCACGGATCCTGGGATGAAAGCGGAGTGGAATACGGAAAAAATTACAAAAGAATGACCAAATAGTTCTTAAGAAGGATAAGGGAAGAGTGACGGCTGTAATGGACAGGAAATACTACATGGAGAAAATAAAAGAATCTTAGGAGACCGGAACACTTATCAAATACTAAGGAAGGATCCAACCATGAAGATCAACGGTACACTGAAGAATATGCAAAATGAAATGTATTCAACAGAAAAATTGACAGAAGGATGATAAAATCTTTAATCAAAAATGGCACAGGACCACCAAGAACCTACGGACTACCAAAGATACACAAGGAAGAAAAGCTGCTAAGATTAAGAGTCAGCAACAAGCATGAAGCAACACGTAAGATAGCGAAATTCATTTGCTTGAAGTTCAAGAAAGTAAACGACAGATTCTCGAATAGAGTGAAGAATTCATATGAATTTTCTCAAAAGATCTAAAACATTTTGCTGGTGGGGACGAAATTGTTGGTAAGTTTTGATGTACAATCCATGTACACAAACATCTCAGTTGAGAAAGCGGTAAACGCCTTGCTGGAGATATTGGAGCAAGAAGAGGATATCCTGGAGGCAGAACGGATACGGAAGGA